CCTACCCTATCATCTCAATTAGTTTTCCTCTTACCTAAAATCAGAGAGTATTATGCTCTGGAGGCAATTTTTCCTATTCCTTGCCAGTTGATATCAAGCTTGAAATCCAGATTTATAGCCCACATAGGGAAATATTCTAACAATACTGGCTAATTAATTTGTAAAACCCAGTACAAAATGAAAATGTGGTATATATAATTCAGAAGCTAAGAATTTCAAGATGGTGACAGCAACAAACCAACAAACCAACAAACCAACAAACCAAGTGTTGGAAATTCTAGCCAGTGCACTAAGGCTGGAAAAAGAAATAAGAGGCATACAGATTGGAATGAAATAAGACTCTCTATTTGAAGATGATAGGATTGTTTATATAGAAAATCCCAAAGAATTCACACACACATAAATACAAATTAATAAGTGAGCTTAACAAGAGCATAGGATACAAAATCAACACACAAAAATAATTATAAATACTTGTGATGAACAATTGAAAATCAAAATTTAAAACAATTGCAATTTATAGTAGCTCCCTCTAAAATGAAATACTTAGGTATCCATCTCACAAAACATGTACCAGTTCTGTATATTGAAACTACAGAACACTCATAAAAGAAATCTGATGAGACCTAAATAAGTGGCTAGACATAGCATGTTGGTGGATTGGAAGATTCAACATAGTAAAGATGTCAGTTCTTTCCAAACTAATCTACAAACTTAATGCAATACCAATAAAAAGTCAGCAATATTTTTGTCAACTTAGAAACCTGATACTAAAATTTATATGAAACAGCAAAGAAACTAGAATAGCCAAGACAATTTTGAAAATTAATAAAGTTGGAGGAATCACACTAGCTATTTAAAAACGTACTTTAAGTAAGAAGGGAAGACAGTGTAATTTTGGTGAAGGGATGTGCATACATACAGATCAGTGGAGCAGAATAGAGAGTCCATAAATAGACTCACGGAAATATGGCCAATTGATTTTTGACAAATATGCAAAGACAATTCAGTGGATAAAGGATAATCTTTTCAGCAAATGGTGTTGGAAAAATTAAACTAAATGCAAAAAAAAAAAAAAAAAAAAAAAAAAGGTCTTCACCTAAACCTCACACCCTATCCAAAAATGAACTTGAAATGGGTATAAACATCAACATAATGTTAAACATAAAACTTTTAAAAGAAACATTGGAGAAAATCTTCATGACAAAAGCTTAGAGTTCTTAGACATGACACCAAAAGCACAATCCATTAAATATTAATAAATTTTTCATCAAATTTTTTGCTCTGCAAAGTAGCAGCAAAAAATAGCAATATATAGATTTGATAAAATTTTTGTAAAACAAACCAATAAATATTTAAACAAAATTTTTAAAAGTTGTTATCCTTGGGAAGCTGGTGCCAGGAGGTTGGTATAAACTTGCCTTTGACTCTGTACCCTCCTGCGGTAGTTGAATTTTTATGAATATCTCTTACTTTCATACAAGGCCTCCAAACTCCCCACCATTGGCAGCTTTCAGATGAGTCTGGGTAGAAGTCTGCTAGAAAAACTGTGGGGAGGTGAGGGTCAACTCCTCAGATCCCTTCCAAATCTAAAATCCTAGGATTTTATGATTATTTATACCCAACAGAAGATAATTAAAATTCCCTAAGTGAGAAAATGTTTGCCATATTTGATTTCAGAATTACCAAAATAAAATACTCAAAACTCCAGTGTCTCACAAGTGCCTTCTAATGGACTCAAATCTTGATAAATGCTGCTTATCATTTGTCAGGAATAACTTGATATCCAGGTGACAAGTAGCCACTTTCAAGTGTATTTTCTTAAAACAATTTTAAGTGTGTTACCTTCTTATGCCAAACAGAAGAAGGTAACAGTCCGTCAGTTGGATCAGAGTCCAGAAAGCATAGTCTTCACATGGAATCTGCTTTATCATCCTTACAAGCCTTAACTTGCATTAATTTAACCAGCAAACTACATAACTCTCTGAACTAGTGGAGTAAAACTCTGAAACTAGCTAATGCACCTAATTGCAAATAAGGCATAATTCTTGTAATGAGATGTCAGATCGGGGAGCACTAGTAGATTTATTGCTCAGTTAATGAAATTTAAGCTTCAGGGGCATTTATCTGTGCAGACCCTTTTGAGGGCCTGTGTGTAATTATTGGTAGTCACACTGGCAAAGGAATGGCCTTAGGAATACTCCTATAGCTCACTATGCCAATTCACTTGCTGAGGGGGCATGAAGATCCTCACCAGAGGTGGTATCACAACATATGAATGTGTCCAGTGGGCTCTGATCCTGGAACTTTTGAGTGATGGGAGGGGCAACAAGGTTTGAAATATTCAGAGTCAAAAAATTGTGCGTGGAAAAATTCTTCCAAATTTTACATGTTATATATGAAATAAACTAGAAAAAATTTTCACAATTTGACAACATTCCCTAAAAATTTAGACAACACTATCAATAATGAGTTGTAAAACTGAAACTTTTCTAATCTATAAATCATTAAAAAAAAACAAACAAATTTTGACCAAGCATGCTAGAAGACAGAAATATTTTCCTATCCTTCCTACAGAAAATGATGTTATAAAATTATTATTAAATGAAGAAGCAGTCAAAGAATATGCACCCAGAAAGCATAGGGGGAAAGTATGATAGAAGTGTTCCAGGCAGTTAATTAAACTAATGCTATTTTTCAGGATTTTGTGATATTTATGGTATTTGTCAGTTTTTAAGCTTTGCAATTTATTGTGATTTCTTGTTTTTATTTTAAATATTCACTTTCAGATCCAATTTACTGTTTGTAATTTTGTGGGTGTGTGTGTGTGTATGTTTTTTAAAGAGAATCGCCCAAATTGTATTAGTTTCAGGCCCTACACAAAAACCTGGCTCAACTCTGCATAGGAGCTTTTAAATATTTAGGAATAAGATAAAGCTTTTCCTTTTGGTTAAGAATTCTTAGTAATACAGTCAAATAGGATCATGATTTACTGAGTCTAGACGCTGACCTCTGCAATGGAATTGGTAGCTCTGGTGGGTCAAAACGGAGAACAGCGAGAGGCACATAGATTTATCATCAGTCACCCTGCAGGAGGGAAACCTGGGTGGAATTTGGCACTGAGGATGAATATCTGTTCCAGAAGAGAAATTGTCTGCTAAGAAGGTCTGCTGAAATGACCTGGTGGAGTTTTTTCTAATTTAAAAGAAGAAACACTTTGAGGCTTTTCAGAGAAGTGTGAAACACTAGATTTGGGATATCTAGGTTCAGTTCACCTAGTTTTGGTTTCTACACTATAAAGGGCAAGTTAAGATAAGGTTGCCACAGTGATGACCATGACAATACTCTCCTATCTCACTGTCACTATCCTCTTGCAGTGACTGAGTACTGGACAGGATTGATGGATGTTGTGGGAGAGCCTATAGACAACAGGGCCAGAGACCTCTGACATGTTCTCATAACGGTTTATTTCCCTTGCGAGAGCAGATGGGATTAATACACTGGGCTCATCATTCTTAAGCAAGTTATGCCAAGGTGACTGGTCCTCCCTTGAAGAGGAATTTACATATATACATGTCTCTTTTTAACCCACTTATGAGTAACTGTTTCCTTGTTCTTTTTGATATTTATGCCTCTATCGAAAGACCTGTCTTTTTATATCCCAAATAAAGCAAAAGAAACTTGTAATTGTATTTCACCATGGACCTACAATCTTGTTCCAGAGGCAGTGATAGAAAAGTGTAAGAGCGACCCCCTTGTTTGCTGAACTGGCCATCCAGTGGTCCCCATAGGAAGGGGTCACAGGTTATAGGGAAATCCCTTCTGACCTCTCTGACTCCCCAATCCTAAAAGGGCCTGAGACTAAGTACAATTCACATGACTGAAGACTCCTCCCTTTAAGCTGGAGTCAGAGTGGGTAATAACTGGATCCTACTCAGCATCATGTTTGATAGAGAATAAAAGGTATATAGAAGCTTTGAAGCAGTTTCTGCTGCTTGATGTCATGGAATTTCTGTTTCATTGTCATCCAGAGACTCGGAGTGTGGTGCAGGCCAGAGAAGTACACCATTCCTAATTTCAGCAGTTCTGACAACACTGGGCCAAGGTCTGTCAAGTACTTCTCTTATTTGGCTGTCCAGGGTTCTCTGTGATTTAGTGATAAAGACTGTAAGACAGAATCGTGGTACATTCTCCAGGAGAAAATGACAGTAGGATTATGGATGCAAGACAGAGACGACAGTGGCAAGTTTGACTCCAGCTTATTTAAACAAGGGCATTTTCTAGAGAACATGAAGTATTCCTAGTGTTGTGAATTCTCTTGAAATTTTACAATTTGTTATATGTTTTTCTTAATCATTTCTGGGCAGAATGAACTTGAAGAATCAAGTAATATATCACGGCCATACTTACACATAGACAGACAGACAAGTGGGGTGGTTTAGCAAAACAAATAGTCCTATTTACATAGGACAATATTCTTGATGCAGATTTGAGGCTGGTTCTGAATGTGTGAACTCGGAAAGAAACTACATTTCCAGGGAAGGAAGACTACGCTCCCCACCCCCACACCCAGTTCTACCCCAAATTCAATATCAAATAATCAAAAGGGAGAAAAGTGAAGGATTGCTGACTTTTCTTGATATCCATTCCCTTCTACTTGAATAACGATCCTAAAATAACAGGCTGAAATGCTCTTCCTGGGAGAAATTTCTACCTTGGCTCTCCTACCTTTGGGCACTCCCACCCAAACCTCCCTGAACCCAGAGCTCACTCTCTTGTAACGAGACCATAAATTGTACTAGCTTCGCTTTGTGATCAGCATATTTCATGATTTCTTTCTAATGGTGTCAGGTTCTGCTTTTCTCAGTGGCTGGTAAATGGATTCCCCCCATTTAGTTGTTGGAGCTCTCTCACTTTAGTGATAATCATCACCATGGGACTTGGTGCTTGGCCAGGCCTATGAAAGGATAGCCACTCCCTCTGCTCCCATCTTATTTCACCTTTTTCCATGTCAGTCTTGATCTGCTCCTCAAGATCCTCTGGGGACATGTAGAAGTCCTCTTCTGGCACGGATGATTTGGGCCGGCAGCGTCCACAGCAGCAGTTGCAACAGCAGCACAGACAGCAGCAAAAATAGCAGCCAGTCAAGAGGCCAATGATGACAAACAGGGTCTAGGGGAAAGAGGCAAAACGAAACAGGGATGAAGGGTGTTGGGGTGTGGGAGAACCCCAGAAATCAAGTGTGCACCCATGTACCTCCAGAGACCTGAAGACATCGCAGTTCACCCTGTAGACCACATATCCATCCTCATCCTTATTCCATGCAAGAACTCTTTAGTTTCCTTGGAAACAAATTCCACACAGAGTTTTGCCTAACAAGTTAAACCCAGAGGAAATGACTTGTAGCCAAAGTAATGACATATGACATATTCTTCTTTATTCTTAAGCTATGGTGATCATTATTGAGTAAAGCAAACAAAATCAACCAACCAACCAACAAAACCTCTAACCAAGGGAACTGAATCATTCTCACTAAAAGCTATTAATAGTCTTCCTCCCCCACCCACATTCGTTAGTCACCACATCCCGTGGAGTCTCTCTCCTCAAGATCTCTTGCACCCTCCCTCTCATCTCTATCCTGGCTGGTAGGACTTTCAAACAGATCTCATTATCTCAGCTCTAGACATTTTAGTAGCCTCCTAACTGGCCTCCCTGTCTCCACTCTTGCCTCCTAATCCACCTAATCCACCTTGCACATTGCTACTCAAACTTCCTAAAGTACCTGTTCTCTTGAACCCACAGAGTGACTCTCTGGCCTCTTAGATAAGGCTAGAGCTCCTTATTAAGGTCATTTGGCCTCTACCAATGCCCCCCCCCACGCCCTACACCAACTGGCCCTGTTCTTGCCATAGCTGCCATAGCTTTTCTCTCCCTGCAGATTTACCTGCCTAGATGTCTCCCTCCCATTCTCCAGTCACCTAACAAATACCCACTCCGTATTTGATATTCATCTCAAGGACCCTCTCTCCTTGACATCTTTTCTGACCCCCTCCCCAGAACAATGACTCTCTCCTTTGTGCCTCAGTTGTACTCCATACAAACTTCTACCATGGTGCTTTTTGTGTGGACATTTTAGGACATTGATTGGTGTATAGGTCTGTCTAATACTTCTTCAAGTCTAGAGCTATATGTTAGTCATTCTACTACCTAAGGATTTAGTACCTGGCATGTGGTAGACACTTAATACATGCCTACTGAATTAATGAATGTATAAAGTAACAGATAAACAAATGATTTGTCTCTCCTGTGAACAGCACCGAATTTCCCCACAACCATGTAAAAGGTTTGCTCACAAAGTTTGCCATAGCTGAAAATTAAAAGAAACTCTCCCAGTCCCCCCAATTTGAAGTTAATATAAGCCGTTTTATTAATTTGAGCAAAATCAATTTATTATTTCATTAAAAATATGTATCTGAAATAGAAAGTTGTTTGTACATCTTTGAATCAGAATGTAGATTTTATTTAATGAAGGAAGCAAATGGGATAAAGATCACTGTGTCTACAGTTCTTCAGTAACTTAAGGTGGAATCTCTTATGTTGATGAACCTCACCTGCCCCGTTCCACTTGCCCAGGACTCTACCTATCCGACTCTGGCCCCAGTTGTGGGGTAGAGCCTATGGGTGGGTGGCTTGGAGTAAGAGGTACTCAAATCCTCACATCTATAATCTTTTTTGCTGTGGATACTATACATTTTCATAGACTTAGGTAAATTACTCTGAAAACAGAACTGCAACACTCTCCTCTTTACCGACTGCCTCTGATCCCTCCTGTGTAATATTCTTGTGCCATTGCCCCAACAAGCTCCTCTTTTCGTTAGCTACTTTTTTGTTTTTTCTATCCAATTCCCATATTTTTCTCTTCTCTGAAAATTTCTTTTAGTTCATATACTGTTTTGTTCTTTAGTTATTCCAAATAGATTGTTTGTCTGTTGCAGAAATAACCTTACCTTATTCCCTTCGATGCTTAGCACAGTCCTAGGCAAAAGTAGGTGTCCAATATTTTTAAATACATATTTTCAGTACTATACAAATTCATTCATACAATACATACTTAAAACATGATCACTATGCGCTAGGCCACTGTAATGGGCACTGTGAGTTAGGCTTTGGCACAAGCGGAAGGGGAAGGTAAATATTTTTTGTAGCCTTATTTTTAAGGAGCCATATCAGGAATTATTTTATATATCCCTTATACTACTGGAGCGTTTTTGCTTATCTATGAATTTTTATCAATTTTTTCAACTTCCTGGGTAACGAAACCTATTCTCATTTTTACGCAGGCAGGCCCCAATATGCAATCAGGTGCCAGCATGTAAATAATCTAGAACTCTAGATGTGTCTCTCTATGGAAAGAGCGTCACGTCTGGAGGTTAGGTTGCCAGGCAAGCCCACAAAAGCCCAGAACATTTAATCTATCATGCATTATAAATGACATTGTCTGTATGTACAGTCTTATTCCAAGTTTCAAATCTGCTTAGTAGGAACTTGTCTCCCTCCCAAGTCCTCACAATAGAGAAAAGGGGTTTCAGTGGGAATCTTGATCGTCCCCAAGGAAAGGAATTCTGGAGACTGCAGAAAGCAAATGAGCCCTTTGGTCACAGACTGTCACTCCATGCTTATGCACCGTAACATATCCTTTCTCTTCCTGCATATATAAAACTCTTGAATTTAGCAAGATTTATTTTAGTGGAAGAAAATAGCAATTGGAATACTACAGAACATGAAACTTGCCTTTTTGGAGATCTGCAGCTTTTTAAATTATTAATTACAACTCATGTGAATATGAGTTCATATGATTTCACAAAATGTGTGAACTGTGAACTGTTCACATGCATGTGAACTGTCTAAAAAATATGCTGATGGATTATGCATGTGGTTCATATGTAAGTATATTTTCATTAGATGTTAAGGATATTAAAACTCATAAACAAATATAAAGTCACCACCAAACATACATATACTAAGGATTCCTAGAAAACCACACAAAATTTACTGTTAAAAGTCAATTCTGATTGTATTACGTTGCCTTTTTCTTGACCAGTATCTATTTTCTCTCTCTCTTTCTCTCTCTCTTTCTCCCTCTCTCTCTCTCTCTCCAATTGTCTGTCCTCCACTACTTAATTTTCACCTTTTCCCCCTCATTTCCTTCTCCACTACCTCACAGCTGGCTCCATGTGAGCCTGTGACATAACGACTATGCATTCTCCTAAGTACTGTTTGCTGATGTAGCCTATGCTATAAATAGTAAAGTACACGGCTAAATTTGTCCTGTAATAATTTATTAAACAGTCATCACACTAATAAATTATTTTTGGTTTTGAGCAATGAGTCAGTTCTTAATTAGTCACCATAGGGGGAGAGAGGGCAGTCAGAATTAACCTGAAGCTTCAAATTCAAATATGATTAATGTCTGGAAATATTAAGTCATGCTGTATTTTATAATTATTTGATGAGCTAAAGCAAAAATGATCCTCAAATAACCTTTCAAATAACAGGTCAAAGCGATATCTCCTTTTATTTACAAGAGTTTAATAATATAGTAAGGTTAGGCTTTTCTTTGATATTGAGTCTAAAAGAGTGACTGATACCATTATCTAACAAGAAATTATTTTTGAAGGAAAAAAATATGATTCACCTTTGCCCACCAGCTTGACAGCATAAAGTAGGTATTAACATTTTCATCTCCAAATTGTTCAGCCACATAAAGTCCCAGCGATCCATACTTGTCATATATATTTCTCTTTGACAGGTCAGTAAGTATTGTGTGGGCATTGTTGATTTCTTTAAACTTTTCAGCAGCAGCTGGATCATCTGGATTCTTGTCTGGATGATGTTTCAGGGCCAATTTTCTTTTTAAAAAAAGTGAGGAAAAGAGTTATTTGACAAGAATTACAATGGCTTTTTCAAAGGGCACTATTTCTTTGTACATCCTTTATACATGAATATACTGTCCATGCATGTTGAGGTGGGGTACTGATCAGCTTCCAGAAAAGTAGAGTATATCTTATAAATCAATCTATACAATAAATTGGAAAAAAATCACACTTATTTCAGGAATTAAAGTATTGCTGGTTCAGAAATAGTGAATAATTAAGCCACTCAGCATCAAGATGCTTAAAAAGTACCAATATATTTAAAAGTATAAATCATGGTGTATAATCCATTCTAACTAAAGAATTTTTTTAAATGATCATTCATTTTAAATTTGTTTAACCAAAAGATTTTTCATCTTTCATTTTGAGAGATATTTAGGGTATCTATAAATTCTTATAGATTCAATCAATGAGACTTTTTTTACATGCAGAATTTGTGATGAACTTTTGCTAATAGCACAAAATGCTTATTTTGTCATTTTTAAAAGCTTTTTAATGTTTACTATATTCTAGCAGTATTGTAAGGATATTTTAAGTATTAATTCATTAATCTTTACCACAGCCCTATGAGATCGGTATTATAATGATTCCATTTTACAGATGAGGAAATTTAGCCACCAACAAGTTAAGTAACTTGCCCAATGTCACAAAACTAATAATTAGAGCCAGGCTTTGAACACAGGCAATCTGACCCTAAGCACATGCTCTTAACCACCTATCTGCTGCCTCCTATATATTTTTTAAATTAAAAAATGTAAGACATACAGAATGTTAGTAGGCCATTGTGAGGACTTTGGCTTTGGGTCTAGGTGATATGGGAAGCCATTGGAGCGTTTTGAGAAGGAAAGTGGTATGATCTGACTTTAGGTTTAGAAAAATCATTCAGTCTTGAAGAGGACAAAGGCGAAAGCAGGAAGACTGTTTTAGGAGAAGTTTATAGTGATTCAGACCAGTGTGGCAGTGCAGGATGTAGGGAGAGGTGGTTGGATTCTGGATATATTTTGAGGACTAGCTGGATTGGATGTGAGATGTGAAAGAAAAAAGAATCAGAGATGGCACCAAAGTTTTGACCTGAGCAATGAGAAATCTGGAGTTACTATTTAATGAGTTAGCAAGAGATTTTTTGTAGAAGGAAATGGTTTGTTAAGGTTCAGAGTTCCATTTTGGACACCCTTGAGATGCCTATTAGAATTCCAAGTGGAGAGGGAGGAAGAGAAACCTATGAGCCTGGAGTTCAGGTGAGAATCTGTGTGGGACATGTACGTTTGGGAGTTAGTTCTCAGCAGGTAGATAGTATTTAGAGCTATGGAACTGGAAAAGATTCCCAAGAAAGTGGGTCCAAGAGAAGTCCAAAGACTGAGCAAAGGAGATGAAAAAAAAAAAAAGAATGACGTAGAAGGAAAAATCTGGGAAATATGGGGTCTTAGGATCCCAGTGAACAAAATATTTCAAGGTAGACAGTGGTTACCTGTGTCAGATGTCATTGACATGTTATGTATGATGAGGACTAAGAACTGATCACTGGTGACCTTGACACATTTGCATGCACACATACACACATACAAATGCATACATGCACATATACACTCACCACAGACAACTGTATATATGTGTTAATATAGGGAAAAATTAAGCAGAAAAATAAAAAGAAAAGAAAGAGGAAAACGGAAGGTTATAACCACAATTAACTGTGCTTATAGATGCACATTGGGGTTTTAGGTGATTCTCTGTTTTTGCTTGTTGAAGAAAATATACATATTACCTGTGTGGTTTCCTTCCTAAGCGTTTTTAAGCTCTGGTTACAAATTTTGTGCCTCTTAATAGGTGGAAGTTTAGAGTTTGTTCCTTAAATGACCCACTACAGACTGGAGATGGGGAAAGAAAGAAAGAAGTCCTCAAACTTTAATGATACAACAGTCATCATCAAAGGCTTTAAGTGGCTTCTTTAAGCACATTACTTTTAATTACTCAATATTCCTGGAGTTCTCATTCTGCACCCTGGAATACAATTGCAGCATTTCCCCTTCTAGTTCCAGAGATCACGTCCAGAGCCAACCAAATGCAAGGGTTGTTACTTCTGCCTTGAAAAAATGAAATCCCTGGTAAATGGCTCTTTACATATATTACTTTGTTTCTAGTGTTCAGTTGTAGACTGATACAAACTGCCCAAGACAGCCAGAGAAGCCTAGTTTCCTGGCGCATTTTAAACTGCTTGGATCTTTGTCAGGCTCACAAGGGCAGACGCAATCAACCACTTATCACATTCCTCTAACAATGGAGTTGGCAAATTCAGAGAGCTGCAGTACCTCTCTTTGTAACAAGTCCAATTCCTAGTCGTCTGCAGCATTTTGACTCCTCTTGGCAGATACTCTTGGCTCTGAGGAATCCTTTGGAAATATGGCTAGCAGAGGCAGCTGCCAAAATTACACAACTGCTCGAGGAGGTAGTTGATCAATGACCAACCCCCTTAAGAACCGTATGTCGCGTAAGAAAACAAGTATGGGATTTAGGGTGAAAGGAAGTGCTTAGAGTACATGTAAATGTACTTTTACTCACCTATTTACTTTAAAGATATTTCATATCATTTCTCATTTTATACTTAAAAGTGGCATAATATTCAACCAGAATGTGGGCCTTTAATTTTAAAAATCTCTACTTAGTCACCTCTTAATCAGGTATGGCTATAACTAATATCAGAAGTAGCAACACCTCCTCTAATTTCCACTTCAAAATCCAATGACAGCTGTCAACTGAAATGCATAGTGAATTCAGTGAGTAGCAGATAAGATAAACCTCAGGCCCCTAAGATCTACCTATTTTGAGGCAGCAGAATAATTCTAAGAATTATAATGTTCTGCCTAGTTCTCCTTCCTGTACCACCTAGCACTCGAGTGAGATCTACCTACTATTCTCTACCAATTTCTGAATCACCTAACTCCTGATTCTGACCATGTTGCCCCAGCTCTAGTCCAAATCTATCTCCATGGGGTTCAAATGTCAGAGGAGACCCTCTTTTTGTGGGAAGGCTGGCCTCTGAGCCTCAGGAAACTAAATTCCACCATGGCATGGCTATGTATGTAGCTGCTTTTCCCCACTTAACACATATTGAACTTTCTCCAGTTACCTTCAGATACTTCCTATTTCAAATATTTTCTTAACTGCTGTGTGACTTTCTGCTAAAATATCTCAATAAAGTTTATTGCCCCTCCACTGTCACAGAAGAAAACCACCTGCTGCCTAAGACAAAAGATAAGAGAGAGGGTGAGGCATTGATATCTTCCTATATCCTAGAACCTTTAAAACCACCCTCATGGGAGAGCCAGCATTTACTGCAAAGTAGCAAAAGCAAAATCTGAGCTCATGTTAGTTGTAGACTATTCTTTCTAGAAAAAAAAGTGGCTATGATGGGAAGGAGACTGATGGTAGGTAGGAAAATAACCGCTATAAACCAGAGTTTGCAGGTGAAACAAACCCTATGTTAGTAACCCTAGATATACGGCAAGTACTACAACTATGGAACTTGATAGTTTGTCATAATACTGGAGGTTCAGTGGGACCCCTGTGCTCTCTTGGACTCAGGCAACACTGAAGTGAAAATATAAGAAACCAGTATATGAGCTCCAATGTACAGCTCCCTGACATTTGGTATTGAAAGGCATTTTAATGTTTGACAATCTGGTAGTTTTTTATATATCCCTTTATAGTTTGATTTTAATTTCTAATTTTGGATATCCTCTATTTAAGTGCATGGTAGTCTTTTATCAGTGCTTAGGTTGATGCGTAGAATTAAGTTTTAAAAATACATTTTAAAAGACATAATTTAAAAAAATACGTATTTTGTATATGAATCCTTTGTCAGTTATATGTATTGCATATATATTCTCCATTTCTGGGGGCATTTTTGTTTGTTGTTAGTTTCTTTATGGAATCTTTAAACAAACAGAAATTCTTAATTTTAATTTAGTTGAATAAATCTTTTTCTGAATTCAGGAAGATATTGTCCTATAAATTCTAAAATTTTTAAATCTTTATAGATTTGTCTTTCACATGGAAGTCAATGATCCATTTGTAGCTGATTTTTTAATGTGGTTGAAGGCAGGCATCCAGTTTCATTTTTAAAAATGGATATCTAACTGTCCTACCTAATGTAGGCATCCAGTTTCATTTTTAAAAATGGATATCTAACTGTCCTACCACCATTTATTTAAAATTTAAAATTCTTTTCCTGTATTTCTAGGCTCTCTGTTCTGCTCCATTGTCTATTTGGCTATTTCTGGGCCAATAACAGTCTTAAATATAATACCTTTCCATATCATATTTAAGATGTCTTAGTATCTTAAAGAGGGAAGTTTTTCTATATTGTTGTTCTTCAAGAGTTATATAGCTGGCTATTCTGGGCCCTCTCCATTTCAACCAGAATGTGGGCCTTTAATTTTTTAGAATTATTTTGTCAGTTTACACACACACATAAATTTTAGAATTATTTTGTCAGTTTACACACACACACCCCATTGGGATTTTTATTGCAATTGCATTGACTTTGTAGATTAATTTGGAGATTGACATATGTACAATATGTGCACTTATTTATAACTTTTATTTATAACATTTAAAAGGTCCTGCATATATTCTAATTGATTTATTCCTAGGAACTTAATTTTTTTGGTGTGGTTTTTGACATTAATTTTTTTAACTCATTGCATATATAAAAGATTTTTATACAGTGATGCTTTTTAGCCTACAAACTTCCTAAGCTTATTTATTAATTTTAATAAAATATAGGTTCTTGTATATTTTCTACATATGCAAATCATACAATCAGCAAATAGTGATTGTTTTTCTTTCTTTCCAATTCCTATGTCATTTACATTTTTCCTTATTTTATTGTTCTGACTAAGACCTCTAGTAAGATGTCAAATAAGAATTACTATAGCAGGCATCCTTCTTCCTTCTTCTTTTACAAATTAGAGTGAATA